TATCCTTTTAATGTTTGTTGGATGTGGTTTGCTAATACTTTTGTTGAGGGTTTTTGCATCTATATGTATGCCGGATATTGGCCTGTAGGTGTTTTGTTTGTTTGGTTTTTTGTTTTTTTGTAGTGTCTTTGTGTGGTTTTGTATCAGGGTAATGCTGGCCTCATTGAATGTATTTGGAAGCTTTCCTTTTTTTCTTTTTCAAATAGTTTGTGGAGAATAGGTATTATTCTTTAAATAGTAGGTATTAACTCTTTAAATAGTAGGACTCACCTGCGAAGCCATCTGGTCCTGGACTTTTGTTTGTTGGGAGGTTTTTGATTGCTGATTCAATTTCATTACTAGTAATCTGTCTGCTCAGATTTTCTATTTCTACCAGATTGAGTTTTGAAAGATATATGTTTGTAGGAATTTATCTACTTCTTCTAGGTTGTCCAGTTTTTTGGTATATAATTTTTTGTAGTGGTCTCTTACAGTTCTTTGTATTTCTGTGGTGTTGATTGTTCTTTTTTTGTTTCTAATTTTATTTGGGTCCTCTTTTTCTCTTCTTGTGTCTGGCTAAAGGTTTATCAATTTTCTTTATCTTTTCAAACAACCAGCTCTTGGTTTCATTGATCTTTTGTATTTTTTTTTTTTTTGGTCTCTATTTCATTATAACCCCACCACTTTCAGTATGTTGATTATTTTGGTTGCCTCATTGCAGTCTTTGCTCCTTATTACATTTGACTTTATGCAATTTTGATCACGTGAAGACCTAGTGAGAGCTCTCATTTACTGAATGCTTACTATGAATTATGCACTCTGCTTGTGTTTTTTAAAGATTTTATTTATTTATTTGACAGAGAGAGATTGTGAGAGCAGGAACACTAGCAGTGGGAGTGGGAGAGGGAGAAGCAGGCTTCCTGCCGAGCAGGGAGCCCGATGCGGGGCTGGATCCCAGGACCTTGGGATCATGACCTGAGCCCAAGGCAGATGCTTAACTGACTGAGCCACCCAGGTGCCCCTCTATACAATCTTTTGAGAATAGATACTGTTAATCCCATTTTACAGTTCAGAAAACTTAGGCTTATCAGGGATAAATGACTTACCTAATATAATACAGTAAATAGCTATATTGGGATTCACATCTAGATCTCTTTAATTCTAAAATCTCCAGTCATTTCACTATACCAATCTACTTTATTTATTCACTCTTTAATGATTTCTATTTGAACTTCTAAAAAACATCTAAAGAGGGGTGCCTGTCTAAGTTGGTTTGTGGGTTTGAGCCCCATATTGGGTATAGAAATTACTTAAAAATAAAATCTCTAGGGGCTCCTGGGTGGCTCATTTGGTTAAGCGTCCAACTCTTGATCTCAGCTCAGAGTCCAGTCTTGATCTCAGGGTTGTGAGGTCAAGCCTTATCTTGGGCTCCATGCTGGGCGCGGAGCCTACCTTAAAAAAAACAACAACTTTAAAACAAAAATTGTTTTAAAAGCATCTAAAGATTAATAGAATCATTAAATTAAAGGTTTGGGTTTGATTTCTGTTTTTCTCCTGCTACTGGACTGTTAGCCCCTTGAGGACAGGGACGAGGGGGTCATGTTTATTTCTGCATTCTTCTTTCTATTAAATGCAAAATAAATACTCGATGTACCAGTGATGAACACTGCCTTTGCTCTCCCAGGAAATTTGAGATACAAGGCTGCTTAATAGAACCTTAGCATGTTAGAATTTAAAGGGGCTTGAAAAATCAAGTCAAACCTTTCCCTCAAGGAGGAAGGACCTCCTTAGGGTGGCCCAGTGAGTTGGAAGCACACAGAACTAGAATCTAGGTCTTTTGGTCTTCTACTTACCATCTGGTTTGAAAGAACCTAACCCTGTCCCTAATTTGCTCCCTCTTTCCCTACTTCTTCCTTTTCTTTCCTTTTTTCTCTTTCTCTTTCTTTCATGATGTGAGTTGAGTAGCTTTATACACTTAAAGTTTTAAGCCTCACAGTTAACAAAGCAAGGCAAGATTTTTTTCATTCCTTTTACACTGATTTCTACTCCTGATTATGCCTTTATTTAACCCAGAATAGAATCCAGGTCATTTGCCTCTCTCCACACCCAAAGTATGCAGAGCTACAGCCCATGTAGAGAAAATTATCTTTACTAGATTCCTTCTTAGAACATGCTATTGATGATTGGTGAGGAGTAGGAAAAAGGCTGGTAGGGGACAGGCTGGTTTTTTGTTTTGGTTTGGTTTGGTTTGGTTTTTTGGTTTTTTTGCAATAGCCAGGTTTTTGGAGGAATTTTTTTTTTTTTCTCAGAGAAGACAAATGTAACCAGACTCTGTAATTTATTCTTCTGTAGTCTCTGGGCCTGCTGTTTTGTAAGCAAACGATGTGAAGGCTAAAGACCCTGCAGCTCTTCTTTCCACATCTCACCACCATTTATTTATTCCCTTTGAATATCATGATTCCAATTGTCTTATTCCCTAGTTAAAAGTATTTTTTTTTTAAAGATTTTATTTATTTGACAGAGAGACAGTGAGAGAGGGAACACAAGCAGGGGGAGTGGGAGAGGGAGAAGCAGGCTTCCCGCCGAGCAGGGAGCCTGATGCGGAGCTCGATCCCAGGACCCTGGGATCATGACCTGAGCCGAAGGCAGACGCTTAACGACTGAGCCACCCAGGTGCCCCTGAAGTATTTTTTTTTTAAGATTTTAAAAAAATTTATTTACTGAGAGAGTGCATGCACAGGGGGAGGGGCAGAGGGAGAGAGAGAGAGAATCTCAAGCAGACTCCCCCACTGAGCACAGAGCCCAACATGGGCCTTGATCTCACAACCCTGAGATCATGACCTGAGCCGAAATCAAGAGTTGGACGCTTGACCAACTGAGCCACCCAGGCGTCCCTCTTATCCCCTAGCTTAAATAATATATGGTTTGTTACGATGTCCTTTCCTGGTCTCCCATTATCTTATAGAATGTAACCTGGAGTGTTATTTGGGTAGCCATTTGTTAGTATGTCCCAGTGCTCCTACACTTTTCATATAAGGCCAGAATATTTTAGGGTGTTTCATTCGGAGAGTTGGTTGGGGGTTCCTGTACAGTAGAACGGGTACTGAGACTACATTGTTCACTGACCATTAGCCTGCACCAGTGAGCACACGGAACCATAAGCTCTAAAGCAAAGTGGGATCTGCTCACCATTCTCCTCTCAGTGTTCTCTCTCTTTTTTTTTTCTCCTATGTAAAATAACACTAAAACACTAAGGCTTTTTCTTGCCACAGAGCAGTCTATTAGAAGCTACAGGAGACAACTAAATGCTAAAAAGATGCTTTAAGCTACACTGTCCAGTGTGGGAGCCACCATTACCATATGGCTATTGAGCACTTGAAATGTGGCTAGTCTCTCTTGAGGTATGCCATAAATATAAGGTACACATCAGATTTCAAAGCCTCAGTACAAAAAAAAGTAAAATATTTCATAAATAATTTTAATATGAAGTAAATGTTGGAATGATAATATTTTGGATCTATTGGATAAAATAAAATATATTATTTAATTTAATATCATCTGGGGCATCTGGGTGGCTCAGTCGGTTGAGCATCTGACTCTTGATTTCGGCTCAGGTCATGATCTCGGGGTCGTGAGCTCGAGCCCCACATCAGGCTCTGTGCTCAGCAGAGTCTGCTTCTCCCTCTCCCTCTGTCTCTCCCCCTGTTCGCTTGCTCTCTCTCTCTCAAATAAATAAATAAAATCTTTAAAAATAACACCAGTGTTTCTTTTTCCTTTTTTAAATGTCACTACTAGATAACTTAAAATTACATATGTGACTCCCATTGTGTTTTGATTAGGTAGCACTGGTCTAGAAATCCCCAAGTAAATACTTTCTCAAAAGTTTTCTCCACTATGGAACTTTAGGAAACTATCATTTTCCTCTCTATAACTCATCCTGCATGTTCTTTCATTTTATTTGATGACATCAGGAAGAAAGCCTCCATTAAGTACTAATTACCTTTTTTTTTTTTAACACCTGCTACTCACCTGAGCAGAGTAACAGCTAGTGAAAGCAGGGTGGTTGGTGGAGGGAGTTAGGAGGCACCAGGGAGTGGAAGACTGGTGATCAGTCCATACTTCTGACTTAGAATCATTGTATACATTTGGAACTCTTCAGCTGACAAGTCCGAGTTCTGAGACACCCCTTACAGCAGAAACATGCCTCTGTTTGGGGTTCTAGTTTTGCTTTCTTCTCACATATCTAAGTTTATTGAGGATCTGTCGTGTGATAGACTGTTTCCTAGCACATAGAAAACAGATGAATATGGCCTAGTCACTGCTCTCAAGGAGCTTACATTCAGGTAACGAATTTGAAGCACACTCTAGATAAGCACTGTAATGATGGTAGAAAAGAAAGTGCTTTTGGAGCACTAGAAAGTTATGACTCATTCTGCCTGGAAAGGAGATCGAAGGCTTCATGTATCTTGGATGTGATTTTATCAGGCAGAAAGGCAGGTGGAAAGGATGTTTTAGCCTGAGGGGGACAACCTGACTAATGGCATGGGAAGTAGTAGAAGGTCACTCTTGAAATAGTAATTTGGGGCCACATTGTGGAGGATTTGACTGCCTAAGGATGTTGGGTGTTATCCTGTATGCAGGGGACCATTAGAAGGTTGTAAGCAGGGGAATGACATGTTCAAGACTGTATGTTAGAGATACCATTCCTGTGCTCCTGGGAAGGACAGATTGAAGAGGGGGATGCTGAATGTAGGGAGATTTAACAAAGAGGTCATTGTAGTGAGCCAGGCAAGGGATAGCCAGGGCTCACATGGAAAGGAAACAGGTAGGTGAGGAATGAAAGAGAGGTGTCAGGCATGGTCCTAAGTTTCTAAGTTAGATCACTAGGAGGTGCCTCTATCCAACATTGGAGATATAGGAGAAGATCAGGCTAAAATGGAACATACAACATACACTCTGGACTTGCAGATAGAGCACAGAGGGAGCTGGCTAGAGCTGAAGTGCTTGTGTTTGTGTTTCAGATGGTGACCCTCTTTCAGATGTGGGTTGTTCCCCTCTATTTCACAGTGAAGCTGCATTGGTGGAGGTTCCTAGTGATCTGGATCTTGTTCTCTGCTGTCACAGCTTTTGTCACCTTCCGAGCCACCCGAAAACCACTAGTACAGACAACCCCAAGGTGAGAGTTTAGGTAGTGGGGAAGAGCTAGGTTTCCTGAAGGGAGCGGGTTGAAATGCATGGGATTGGGGTGGGTTTAGGCTGAAAAAGTTGTAATTTTTGTTTGCCAAAATTATTTGGCATGGGCCCCCACCAAAACAAGCTGATTGGGAGAACTACCCGCCCCCTCATTCACAGATTAAAAACCCCAAAATATTTCCCTGTAGCTTACCTTAGAGTTTATATCAAGGTCTGTGTATATTTAAAGCAACCAAATAAGTAAGCAAATTCTGGGGATCATTGTGGTCTCATTTTAAATGTTATTTTGTGAACCCTTCTCTGATCTCTAAATTAGGTTTTCTGTTATATTCTTTCATAGGCCCTATAGTTTTCCATCATAGAACATAACACAAAATCTTGAGTGTCTATCTCCCCCACTAAACTATAACTGTGAGATCAGGAACCACATGTATTTTGTTTGTCCCTGTATATCCAGGCCCTACCACAGGGCCTGGCACATAGCCTACTCTGTGAATTTTTGTTGAATGAATGAATCTCAGCGAATTTGCAATTTTTCAACAAACAATACTTCTTTGGTCACAAAACAGTCCCTGCCTGTATTATTCTTTGTATTTTATCCAAATGCATTTCTAGTTTGATCCTCCCAACCAGCTTGTGAGGTCATTTCATATCTGTACTTGACAGAAAGATTTTCTCATTCATTCATTCATTCAACAAGCACCTGCTATGTGTCAGGCCCTGTGCTGAGCGCTGGGGATACAGAGCTGGATAAGACATGGTCCCTGCCCTCAAGGAATGCTCGGTTTAATGGAGGAGATGGACCAGAAAGCAGCTGTTTCAGTGCAGTTGGTAAGTGCTGTGAGAGACATGTGTACAGGTCCAGGAGAGCCTAGCAGAGGAACTAGCCAGCCTCAAAATTGTAACTACCAGAACCAAAGGCTTCCAAGTTGCAAGTTGCTCTTCTTCCCATGCATTTTATGTTCCACTTCACTGTGAGGTTTTATTTTGGCCGTCTGAGTTTCCCTGTACATGGTAAAATTTATCTTCAAGGTGAAGTCGATGACTTGGAAGTTCCTCCCTGGCTGTGGTAGTTTACATTAAGGGCCATGATAGAAGATAAGAGACTCTGGAGCCAGATGGATGTGGATTGGAAACTCCAGCCCTGCCACTTAATTGCATGACCTGTATGGCTTCACCTTTCTGAGCCTTGAATTTTTTATCCTTAGAAATGTGACAATGATTGCTCCCTCATAAAGGGTGCTGTGAAGAAACGGTGTAAAAATATACTTTAAGTGTCAGTAAGTAACAACCAGTATCAACTTGTAGGTAAAATGACTAAAAATGTGTCTATGACATGGGAGGTTTTTGATGATAATAACTAACATTTGATAGTGCTTTATAATTTCAAAGCACTTTCATAAACATCCATACTTATTCATGTAGCATTTATTGAGCATGTATTATATACACCAGGAAATGGGCTCTGTACAATTCATTGAGGAAGGTATCATGGTTTCCCCATTTTACAAATAAGTAAACTTATCTTAGAGTGGTGATTTGATTTACCTGGGATTACCCAGCTAATAAAACTCACTTAATCCAGATTCTGCCTAAAATTCCACATCCTTTCCACTGTCTCACTCCTATCTGATGAGTGCAAACCCTGGATAATGGAGCTTTGTGTGGTTTCTGAGGGCAGGCACTACAAAATGTTTGGGGCCTTTCCCTTGCCTGAGAACCCATCACCACTTGCTTAGCCACAGCACGCAGGCACAGGGAAGGACCTTGAGCTTCCTCCCTGCGGCCCATCAAGGTTGGTGGTAACTTGGTCTCAGGAGCCAGACAGGCTTGAGCTGTTTATTCAAGTGAATTCAATTTGCTCTCACCATCCTGGTTTCACGCTGCTTTTTATTGAATTTTAGAGAGCATTGCTCTTCCTTCAAGAGCATTCTATGAACCCCCCCAATCCCCCCCACCATCACACACATACATCCATTCAAAGGTATTCTTTGAGTGCCTCTTTTCTTATCTCTTCTTCTCCAGAAAGAAAATCATTTCAGAAGCAAATTCATTAGACACCATTTCATTATTGGCCTGTAGATAGGAGCAAAGCAGTATTCAGGTTAACCATTCCCAGTAGGAAAAGCCTGGGGGTGCCTTGCTGGCTCAGTCGGAAGAGCATGCACCTCTTGATCTCAGGAGCTTGAACTCGTGAGTTCGAGCCCCATGTTGGGTATAATGATGACTTAAATAAATAAATATTTAAAAAAAGAGGGGGAAGCCCATAGCTGATTCTATCTCTTTTTCACCTTCCCTTGAATTCTCTTTCCTGACAAGAACAGCTGGCCTTCCCCACCTCTTCCCATCTGAACATAGCTGTAGTTACTAGTTTTCACTTCCTTATCCAGCTAATCTGAATTTGAGAGGGCATAGCTGTCTGATGTCAGCTGTGCTTTCTTTGTTTGAAGCTGAAACCTTATAAGGCTCCCTTTTCTTCCCTTGGTCTGGGACCAGGAAAATAGAAAGCACTAGCTCCCTGGTATGCAGGGGTATTTCTACAATTAAGAGAGTGACCAGGTCTGTAACAGTAACTGAAGTTGCTTAGTAAGTCTTAGGCAAATAACCCAATGTCCCCACTGATGTAAGAATAAGAGATTCTGGTAATCCAGAGGCCCCCTAAGCAAGTTTCCATGTCAGCTATGCTAATTTTCTTTCCTTTCTCCAGGTTGGTTTATAAGTGGTTCCTGTTGATCTATAAAATCAGCTATGCCACTGGCATTGTTGGCTACATGGCTGTCATGTTTACCCTCTTTGGTCTCAATTTATTATTCAAGTAAGTACTCTGCTTTTGTTTTTGTTTGTGTTTGGGGAGGAGGGGCTGGTAAGATGTACCTTTCCTCCTGAAGCCAAGTCCTGAATATTAACAAGGGGGCCATGGCACCCAGGATAGGAGACTTGGGCTTTGGGGAATGAGAAGGTGGGCCCTCCATGATTCGTGCTGGCAAAGAGGAAGGAATGTCTGGATATAGAGTTAGAGTCCCATCGTTGGTTATGTTTTCCAAGAACCTATATTTTAATGGAAAAGTATCACAGCAGTTAAGCATAATAATGATTATAGCCAGTTATCCATCACCCTATCAGAGTCATTTTCCTTGTCCATGGGTTCACTGTTTATTGCAATGACTCTTCCTGAGTGGTCTTATGTTTAGGGAGACTAGGGGTTGGCAAACTGTCCCGTGGACCAAATTGGTCTACGTCCTGTTTTTACAAGATAAAAAAAAGCTTCTACTGGAACACCGTCACACTCATTTGTTTATGCATTGTTTATCGCAGTTTTTGCAGTATAACAATAGCAGAGTTGAGTATTTGTGGCAGAGACTATTTGGGCCACAAAACTCAAAATACTATCTGGCCCTTTCCACAAAAAGTTTGTCATCCCCTGAACTAGACAAACTCATGTGACACAGTTGGCCACACCTGGCAACAAGTGCACCTGGAAGAGTACAGGGCAGGAAGCAGAGTGGTGTCCCTAGGAGCCCTCAGAGCAGTTCCAGGGCTGAGATGTGAGGGGGTGAGACCACACAGATGGGTGGCTTGGAAGCTTTCCCTCTCCTGGGAACACATCCAGTTTTAAGAATCTCCCAGTTCAGATGCACATGCGTCATGTTTGACACATTGTTGCTTTTTAACGTAGCTGACATTCCAAAACTGTTTTTTAGAAAGTTAACCCGTGGACATTTAACTCCTGCTCCATTGTTGGGCACTTACGGTGTTTTTCAATATTGTGCTATCACAGATAATATTAGCTGTGTTGCTTCTAAGGATACATTACCAGGAGTCGGATTCTGACTATTGCTTCATATTGTCATAAAATTTCAAAAAGATTCCTATCGGGCACCTGGGTGGCTCAGTCAATTAAGTGTCTGCCTTCAGCTCAGGTCATGATCCCAGGGTCCTGGGATCAAGTCCTGTATCGGGCTCCCTGCTCAGCGGGGAGTCTGCTTCTCTCTCTCCCTCTACCCCTCCCCCCTGCTTGTGCTCTCTGTCTCTCTCATGCTCTCTCTCAAATAAAGTATTAAAAAAAAAAAAAAAAGATCAGCGTATAGGTTCCCCTGCTCCTAGTTGAGGCAGAAGCCAAGAAAACCAAGAAATCCTGGACTCTGAGACTGTAGGTTATAGTGAGTCAGCAGGACAGATGAGAATGGAAATGTGGTCTCCTGGCCGAGGTGATGGGGACTGTGGGCTGTGGATCATGAGGAATCTGAAGCCTAGGGCCGGGCACTTGAAGCTAGAGATTCAGGATTCAGGTTTAAAGTCAGGACCACTGGCCTCTTTCCCAAATCTAGTGCACTGGAGGCAGGAGTCTCTTTGAAACTGAAAGGAGTAAGTCCTTACTTTATATAGTGAGAGCATACCCATGGAATTCTTTCTTCCAGGAAAAAGCATAACCAGTCTCCACAAAGGTTTATAGGAATTCATCAGTATAGAGTCTAGCAAGTCCCATCAAAGAAAGCCAAGATATTTCCAGATAGCTTCCTAATCTGTGTGGTTAAAAAAATAAAAATCCAGATTCTGCATTGCATGGTGCCGGAGTGGCTCAGTTGGTTAAGCATCCAACTCTTGATCTTAGCTCAGGTCTTGATCTCAGAGTTGTGAGTTCAAGCCCCACATTGGGCTCCATGCCCAGCATGGAGCCTATTTTAAAAAAAAGGAAAAAGAAAAGATTCTGCATTGTATTAAAGATGGTTATTCTCTAATTACAGTTTGTTTTTACTTGCATAAACTATACAAGGAGGAAGATAGAATTGAGAATCTTGACCATTTTTATGCTACTAATCAGGTTAATTGGTATAAGATTATGATGTCTAGTGGGTTAAATATTATAAGATTGATGAATACACTCAACTTTCTAAGATAAATATAATTTACAACTTTAAGTAAACAGGCACGGTCCCTGGTACAAATTTTTGACAAAGTTTGTTTTCTATAATAAACATTCAAAGACTGAAGTTTGCAAATTATTGGTCCTTGGAATTATTAAAACAAGCCTCCTAATGTACAGGCAAGATCTTTGTCCTTAGTAAGTAGACTTGGACCCCCAATTTTTTTTTAAAGATTTTGTTTGAGAGAGCGAGCATGAGTTGGGGGGCAGAGGGAGAGGGAGAAGCAGACTCCATGCTGAGCAGGGAGCCCAATGTGGGGTTCAATCCCAGGACTGTGAGATCATGACCTGAGCCAAAGGCAGACGCTTAGCCACCCTAGCATCCGCCATTTTTTAAAGTCTATTTATTTAAGAGAGCACGAGTGGGGGCTTGGGGATAGGGGCAGAGGGAGAGGGAGAGAGCGGAAGAATCATTAAGCAGGCTCCCTGCTGAGTATGGACCCCGATGCAGGGCTCAATACGAGGACTCCGAGATCGTGACCTGGCCGCTTAACCAGCTGAGCCACCCAGGTGCCCCTGGACCAAAATTTAACTTTGATGACGTGATACAGAATATGTATAGATACAGTTTAAAATTTTATGGTAACTGGTATGTATATATTTGCTAAGTGACTAATTTTATCTTTTATTTCTAAAGCTGTGGCTGGCAAACTTTTTCTGTAAGCAGCCAAATAATATTTTAGGCTTTGTGGACAAAAGGCAAAGTCTATAACAAGAGGGGAAACTCTTTCCTTGCCTCACCTTGTTTGATGGATGGGCTCTCTCAGGTGGGAGGCATACTTTGTGCTCACTTGCCATCAGATGAGACATCCTGGGAAGGAGGGGCCTGACAAGGGGGTGTGTGACCACTGGGATCATTTTCACTTTCTGTTCCAGTGACAACCCAGATCTTGGTGTGCCCTTGCCCCGCCATTTCAACTTGGGCAGCTGGCTGGAGGTGAGGCAACTTGGTGAGTTGCCAACTTCCAGACTGAAATTCCACTGGTTGGTGTCCAGTGATTGCCAACAGTAGAGTCTCCAATGCGTAGGTGCCAACCAGAGTGGGCCCTAGACAGCTGCAAGGCATGGTTGCCAGTTGGTGGAGGCAGGCACTGGGGACAGAGTGGGGAAGAGGGGCGGTAGGCAGTACCCTGGCTTGATCTTTGTAGCTCACAGTGCTAGCCTGTTCAGACGGTGCCAACAGGCCATATAAAAAACAGGCTTAAGATCTGGTCTTATTTTGCCAACACTTGATTTAGCCGTTAAGGCTTCCAACTTTAGGTGCCTCCTTATGTAATGTCCCAGAGTAGTAATCCAAAGCAGTTGTGTCTTAGGGCAGGCCTCACAGGCCATGCTGCTTTCCTTACAGGATCAAACCAGAAGACGCCATGGACTTTGGCATTTCTCTCCTCTTCTATGGCCTCTATTATGGAGTTCTTGAGCGAGACTTTGCAGAAATGTGTGCAGACTACATGGCATCTACCATAGGGGTAAGTTCACCTGGGCTTTCACTGCTGCCTCATGCCACTTCCAGAGAAGTCAGTATAGCATCACCGGCTTGATGGAAGAGCTAAGCCATAAAAAAAAATCCTTCAAGATATCAGTAGTATGTATGGAGATTTCTTCCTTAAAATTTGGAAAACCAGATCTCAGATGTACCCTGGGATTTTAAACTTTAGGGCCATTGTAGGAAAGAACCACTTGATCGTTCAGGAAGTTAACATTCATTCAGTAGATAATATTTAATGCCTCCTATGTGCCTGGGCACTGGGCTTGTGCTGGAATTACAAAGGTGTACATGGTCCTTGCCCAGATGGAGTTTACGCCCTAGTGACAGAGATGGGTATTAAAGTAATAAACACACAAATAAATATAAAATTATAACTTTTATGAATACTATGAAGGAAAGGTTCACAGTGCTATGAACAAATGCAGTAATGGCATTTGACCTCATCTGGGGGCCCAGAGATGGCTTCCCCAAAGAAGTGACTGTTGAGCAGATGCGTAGGTTAACCGTGGGTGGCAGATGGAGCAAACTACATGTGTAGATAAGAGTCCTGTAGTGAGAGAAAGGGTGGCCATTTGGAGGAACTAAGGCTAGTGTGATTGTAGGGCTGAGAATGTACTAGAAGTGTCTGGAGAAATAGAGGCTAGACTAGAAAAAAACCTTGAAAGCCAAAGGAAAGATTGTGGTTTTTATGCTAAAAACCCTGGGAGGCTAAGATTGAAAATGACATCTTCAGATTTGCACTTTAAAAAGATCATTCTGGCTGCTGGGTCTAGAACAGATTGGAGAGGGGTCCACTGCTTATAGTGAACCCCTGAAGACTAAGAGGCAGTTGTAGTAGTCTGGGCAAGATAAAGGTAGCTTGGGTTAGGGGACAGATGGTGCGAAGGAAGAGAGGCAAGCTATTTGAGAAGTATTTTGGAGGTACATTTGCTAGGACTTGGATAGGACTTGAATATAGATTGGTTCTGAAGATTGAAGGAAAGTATGTATCAAAGCTGACATGTCTAACTGGAGCCACTCCTTGGCTGGTATACTTTCACTGAGATAGGAAATGCTATAAGGTGGAGACCAGGGAGGGATTCTTCAAGCTCAAAATGTGGGTAAAGTAACATCTAGTCTTAAGAAACTGGGCGCCTGGGTGGCTCAGTTGGTTAAGCAACTGCCTTTGGCTCAGGTCATGATCCCAGAGTCCCGGGATCGAGTCCCACATCGGACTCCTTGCTCAGCAGGGAGTCTGCTTCTCCCTCTGATCCTACCCCCTCTTGGGCTCTCCCTCTCTCACTCTCTCTCTCTCTCAAATAAATAAATAAAGTCTTAAAAAAAAAAAAAAAAGAAAGAAAGAAACCCAAGTCAATATTCCTATTTCTTTTTTTCAAATGGAAATGTGTCTTTGTTGTTTTGCTGCTTATAAAAGTGCATGCTCTCTATAATTATGTGAACAACACAGAAGTACTCCTCAATGTCAGCCCATTAGAAGACCCCACCCCAAGAAGGAGTATTTCCAAGTTCAGTGGACGTTTCTCCAGTTCTGTGCTGAAATGTGTGTGGCTCTGTCTGATGCAAGAGTTCTGAAAGGCCTTCAGAAGTTCTTGCAACATGAGGTTTGGCAGTTTGGAGAGAAACCTTAAGAGAATGTCAGGGAAGTAGGTTCTCTTGGGGCAGCCAGATACCAGTCCTGGCTTTTAGGCAGCAGATACCAATGGAGACCAACTTGAAGGCACAGGAAAGGATTGGTGCTGACTTTGTATGCGGTCCCTCGGGAACTCTTGGAGAGTTCAAGGCAGTTTTGCAGGTGGGAAGATACTTGCTGGGCACATTTTTACAACAGTGCTACTGCTGTCTCGGTTGTGCCATGGACTGGTCGGCTTTGGGCAAGTCAGGTTAAGCAGAATCCTCAGCCATCGCCTTTGGTAACTTTCATCAAGTACAGTTTTGGATGTAGGACTTTGTTTCCCAGTGTCATGGGACTATTTTTATTTCTTCTGTAATGGATTAAAAGGAAAACAGAGTGTATTGGGTCACTTTATGGACAGCCCATTAGATTCTTGTTTGAAAACTGTCTTGTGTTTTAGCCACATTTCATGGTCTCTTATCTATTGGTATAGACTTCAGCTTTTCCTTTAACCACTTCACTGCCCAGAAGAGATTTCCAGATACTTGATTGCCTAATAGTTATCTTCACTTTCAACACCTTTTCTTGAAGTCTGCTTCTTTGGCACGCTCAGCTTTTCAAAATGACTCTTGCCAGTATCCTGCCCTTTACCCTCTTGTGATTTCTTTTTCTTCCCATTCTGTTTTTAAGGGGCCACTTTTCTGATTTTCCCAGGCTGTTGCCAGTTTTATCTCAAGGTTATTATCAGCTGCCAATTTAAGTGCAGCCTTAATTCCCTCAGGTGGGTCATTAATAACCAATATACAGAACCCACTTCAGTCCAAATGGAACTGAGCTCAGAATCGATCCACTAGTCAGCTTCTCCTGTAGGAGATGGAATCATTACATTGGCTTCCCAAAAATGGGATTTGAGCTGGACTTCTTTCTGTGCTCTTGGGAAGGATTATTGGGTGTTCCATTGATTACAAATGATAATCCTTATTATGATAATTCCCTAATAATGATAAATTTCAGTATCACCAAGAGAGCTGGTGGGAGAATTTCTCATTAGGGTCGACAGTGCCTCAGGCACCAGCTCTTGACCCCTCATACCCTCCTTTCTTCTGTGAGTTCTCAGCAGTTACCTCCAACACCTGATGCTCATTCTATAATAGTCTGGCCCACGGATGAATCCACATACCTCCCTATACCTCTTAGTAGCTAGCACAAGAACACAAGGATCAACAATCACATTGAACTTTATTAAGGGAAAATAGACATGAGTACTTGAATGAGGTTAATCTGACATAGCAGGGTACCTGTTTTCCCAGGCTTTCAGACCCTACCCCATCCAACTCTCAGCCTACCTCTGTGTAGCAGGTGCCACCTTAGCATGCACCACCTCGAATCCACATCTAGACAACTACTATCCTCCAGATGTCTAGACCTAGAGCCTGTGTTCTGATAAAAAAAGTACCTGTACCTCAGGCCAGCCTTCTGAATCCTGGTATCTGCACAAGGATCCACCTCTTCCCTAGGCAATTGACATTGAGAATGCCTCTCTCTCATTAGAGCTGCTCTGTCCAGCTCCTGTCCAACAGAGTGTGACCTTACTGACCCCAACTCTAACAGTTTGCTGTTTCCCCGGGCCCCCATTTCCGGGGCAGGGAGTAGGTCATAGGAACACTAGGCTGGCTGTGACAGTACTGGGTGAGTCACTAGTTCATTCATTCATTCTTTCTTATCCGCAGCAAATGTTGCGGAGATTTAGTGGCAGCTTTTCTGCTAGGGCTCAGGATGCCCACAGATTAGACTAGGCAGGGATGTTGAGGAAGGGACTCACAACTCCAACTTGGGATAAAGGGATAGACTGCACTTACCTTTATAGTTCTTTCAAACCTGAGAATTCCAGGACTCTCCTTTCTGCCCCAGTCTTTGGTCAAGTGGGCTGTGGTCTGCTTAGGAACACATGGGTCTCTGAGCCACGGCAGTCTGAATTTCAAGACCATCCCTGGCCTTGAAGCCAGAACCTGATCAGTGGTTTGGGGACGGTAGTTTGAGGAAGCCAAGACACTCCAGCCTTCCACACATTTTTTATCCAATTCATTCTTTCATTTATTCAGAGAACACTTATCAACCTTTCACAGTGTGCTAGGTATGACCACGTGTAGCCTTTACTAGCTCCACCACTGCTCACTTCCAAGTAGCAGTCCTAGTAATTTTTTTAAACTGTGGTAAACCACACATAAAATTTACCATCTTAACCATTTTTAAAGCTACAGTTCAGTGGCATTAAATACATCTACATTGTTCTACAACCATCACCACATCTATCCATAAAACTCTTCATTTTGCAAAATAAAAGCTCTGTACCCCTTAAATAATAACTCCACAATCCCTTTCCCTAAATAATAACTCCACAATCCCTTTCCCTACAGCCCCTGGAAACAACCATTCTGTTTTCTGCCTCTATAAATTTGACCACTGTAGGTACCTCATGTAAATGGACTCATGCAATATTTGTCCCTTGTGACTGGCTTATTTCACTCAGCATAATGTCCTCAAGGTCCACCCATGTTGTAGCAGGTGTCAGAATTTCCTTCTTTTTTCAGGCTGAATCATACTCCATTGTATACCTCAATTTAAAAAGGGCTATAGGGGCGCCTGGGTGGCTCAGTCGTTAAGCGTCTGCCTTCGGCTCGGGTCCTGGTCCCAGGGTCCTGGGATCGAGCCCCGCATCGGGCGCCCTGCTCCGCGGGGAGCCTGCTTCTCCCTCTCCCACTCCCCCTGCTTGTGTTCCCTCTCTTGCTGTCTCACTCTCTCTCTGTCAAATGAATAAATAAAAAATCTTTAAAAAAAAAAAAAAAGGGCTATAAATAGGGGCACCTGGGTGGCTCAGTCAGTTAAGTGTCTGCCTCTTGATCTTGGCTTGGGTCTTGATCTCAGGGTCTTGAGTTCAAGCTCCGTGTTTGGGGGGAGGGGTGCTAAATAAATAATCTCTTTGTGCGTGTGTGTCTGTGTGTGTGTGTGTGTGTGCACGTAGCCTCTTAGAAAAAAGAATTCCATTGTGTGTATATGCCACATTTTTAGTCCCAGGTGTTTTTTATAGTCTTTTGTACATTCTGTGATCATAGCTCCGATCCCAGAGAGTTATAGTTGATTTTGGAGCTGTTATACCTACCAGGTGGGGAAGTAGGTCTGATTGATCTCTCAGTCCCCCTCCGAGAGTGGTTTGACCTACTAAGACCTGTGGTTAATTAATTTCAAGGTTCCTAAAATGAAATGATGAGGTTTACAGTTGTATTAACACACATTCCCAATTCCTGTTCATTATTTTACACTACTTTGTTTATTCTACACAACAGCTGTTTTGCCTCACATGGAGAAACTGTAATATGAACTAAAGTAACTCTTCTTAAGTCAGGGGAACCTTGGATGGTGTTTGTTTTTTTCTAGCTGGTCACTGTGAGATCATAAGCTTGTGACAGCCAGTCATTATAGTTTCCATTCACACCCAAAAGTCATGTTGGAGTGGGGGTGGAAGACAGAGGATTGCGAAATAAGCCAGTTTTCTGGGGCTCTCCATTCAGAGCTGTTGGGCAGGCAGGGTAGTGGCACATTGTTTCTGCTCCATTGGGCCATGTGTCCTACCTCACACTTTTCTTTCTTCTTTTTTTTTTTTTAAAGATCTTTTATTTATTTTTATTTGACACAGAGAGAGCATAAGCAGGGGGAGCAACAGGCAGGCAGAGGGAGAGGGAGAAGCAGCAGGCCTCCCGCCGAGCAGGGAGCCCAATGCGGGGCTCGATCCCAGGACCCTGGGATCATGACCCGAGCCGAAGGCAGCCACTTCACCGACTGAGCCACCCGGGCACCCCACTTTTCTTTCTTCTAAGTAAGTTCCTATGCCCCAGATAACATGAGGACAGGACTAGCTGCCCATTCATCTGTTCTGAAGTAGTGGGAAGAGCTAGGGGGTTAGAGTCATGGACCTGGTTTCAAATCCTAATCCACTTTTAATTAGCTGTGAGCAATTTACTTTACCTCTCTGATCTTGTTTTCTCAGCTGTAATAATATTACCAGACATAAAGTGTTGTAAGGAACAAACGCATAAGGGAAAGCACCCTGCAGAGTAGCCTGGCCCGTGGCACTTAGTTGAGGATTGACGATAGTAGCCAACATTTATCAAGAATACCTTCTGTACAGTACTTCTGTACTAGAAAGTTACATATTTTATATCTGTAATCACCTGGAGCACAGAGACCCTGTAGGATTTCTTTGTATCTTCATCATACCCAACACACAGAGGAAGACACAGAACAGACAAATCCTAAGTCACCAGCAGATGCCAGTTCTCTGTTGGATGCTGTCTGTTGTCTGAAGTCATCTCAGACCACTCTGTGACATGGAATCTCATCTACTATAACCCTGAGAAATGGGTATTTTATTCCCTTTTTCAACAAGTTATTTCTGAAATTATCTGTTTGAACTGACCAGGCACCAGCTCTCTCTGACTTCCGGCGAGGCTCTCCTCCTCCGCCTGTGTCCTCACCGGTCGAGAGAGTGGGGCAGACTGGAGGAGCTCACAGGGCTTTCCTGGCGCACACATTCTCTGATGTGTGAAATGCAGCTCCTCTTTATTTCCTGAGCCCCTGCTATGTGTACGCTCTTGTGCTGGGGTTTTCTGCTCACATATTTATACCCATCTCCTTCCCTCCAGTTCTGGTGGAGAAAATGTCCTTTCTTCCATCACAAGCCAGCCCTGCCTGCACTGTGGATTCCATACCCTCTTTCCTTTTTTTAAAAAGATTTTATTTATTTGACGGATAGAGACACAGCGAGAGAAGGAACACAAGCAAGGGGAGTAGAGGAGGGAGAAGCAGGCTTCCCGCTGAGCAGGGAGCCCGATGCAGGGCTCAATCCCAGGACCCCGGGATCATGACCTGAGCCGAAGGCAGATGCTTAACGACTGAGCCACCCAGCCGCCCCTTTTTCGTCCATTTTTAAATGTACAGTTCAGTGCGTTAGTTACATTCACAGTGTTGTTTAGCTGTCACCACTATTTCCAAAGTTTTTCATCAGCTCAAGCAGAAGCTCTGTGCCCAGTAAGCAGTAACATCCCATTCTCTTCCCCCACCCCTGGCCACCTCTGACCTACTTTTTGTCTCTATAAATTTGCCTATTCTAGGTATTTTATCATATCAAATGGAATCATATAATATTTGTCCTTTGGTGTTGGACATTTCACTTAGCCTACTGTTTCCAAGGTTTCATGCATTGTAGCATGAATCAGAACTTCATGATTTTTATGACTGAATAATATTCCATTGTGTGGATATACCACATTTTGTTTTGTCTGCTTCTCTTTTGATGGACACTTGGGTTGTTTCCACCTTTTGGATGTTGTGAATAATGTTTCCGTGAGTATTGGCTTACAAGTGTGTGTTTAGTCTTTGTTTTCATGGGAGAGGGCATATATGTAAAGATGGGATTGCTGTGTCATATGGTAATTCTGTTTAACTTTTTGAGAAATTGCTAAACTCTTTACTTCTTTAATTATAAATAATGCTTAAATGAATATCTGTATACATGAAACTTTTTTGATATTTTTACTTCTTTAATTACTTGAAGTGTCATTAATCAACAGAGGGCGTGGCAGTTTGAGAGACATCATGCCAGATGCTGTCCAAAAGGATTGAACCCCCTTTCCTGCTTCCACAAGTGTTCGGGAATGCCCTTGTCACCAAACCCACATTGCACTGGGTATCTGACTGTTTTGAATCTTAGAGAAGAGATGTTGTCCATCTCCGATGGAAGCATAGTCTGGCCACAGAGTGGCGTATCTGACATAGCTCCTGATCACCAGCCCTGAGTCCTTCTACCTCCCGGTCTCCTTGTCCCTGATGCTGACCAGCCAAGTGCTCAGATTCTGTTAGATCTGACTTCCCAACCCATCTTTGGTCTGTCCCTTTCTCCCTGCCATCTGCCCAGCAAGATGAGGTCGATTTGGCATATAAAAGATGTTCTTTGGCTATAGGGCCTCCCCCTCCGTCTTTGCCTCCTCTTCAGAAGACCTAAGGCCTCTGTGGCACCGTCCTACTTGGGCTGATTCTCACACCTTTCCTGTCTTTTCCTCCTGTTCTTCCCTCTCAGTTCTACAGCGAGTCGGGCATGCCTACCAAACACCTCTCGGACAGTGTGTGTGCTGTGTGTGGGCAGCAGATCTTTGTGGATGTCAGTGAAGAGGGCATCATCGAGAACACATATAGGCTGTCTTGCAATCACGTGTATCCTGCCTGGAGCCCCTTGGGCCTCATCTCTCCTGCCACATGCACATGCCAGTCAGGGAGGAGAGGGGGCGGCCATGACCCTGGCGTACCGTCTAGACCTTTAAGTGCAGGAGAGTGACAAGAGGGCAGACATTTGGGTGATGTTCTCTGCCAGAGAAGCTGACACCCAGGAGTGGAAACTGCGGTCTCCCTCCCTCTTTCCCACAGCTGGGAGCCCCTCCCATGTAAACAGAGTTTATAGCTTGGCTGGATCCGAAAGGAGCCTGAAGGTGCACCAGCTGCCTCGAGGCTGGATCACTTACTGGGAGGAGCAGCCTCTAGCCGGATCCCTCAGTTTCAGAATCCAGTCCTCCTGAATAACATTTCCAGTATTTATCATGTGCTTGGGCAGCTCCTGTTCTGTGCCATGTATTATCTCCATTTTGCCCCATAACAACCCTGTAAGATGGAGATCATTATCCTCACTTCACATGTGAGGAAGCAGGGTCAGAGAGAGGGGTGTGCCCAAGATTATACAGCTAAAAAGAGGAGAAGCCAGGATTTGAACCTTTCTCCAGAGCTAGTGCACAGGCACCTTGATGACGGGTATGGGGCTCAAGTGCCATCCCGGCTGCCCACCATTTCCCTTGACCAGTGGTGCTCAGATTCCACGAGTTCTGCATCCGTGGCTGGTGCATCGTGGGAAAGAAGCAGACGTGTCCCTACTGCAAAGAGAAGGTAGACCTCAAGAGGATGTTCAGCAACCCGTATCCTTTGTTTGGGAATGGGCAATGGGAAGAAAGTCCTGGCCAGTGTCACTCTGCCTTTGGGTCCTCCTGGGACCCTTGTCCCCCCTTACCCTGGTACATAGCCACCATTCCATTTGACTTGTGATCAAGGGAAGTTGGGGGTGGCACACAGGGCAAGACTAACAGCTCAGATTCTCATCATCATTCTGGATCCCTCAGGGGTAAATTGGTAGCAGTAGCAGCCCATTTACTGTTTGCTTACTCTGCGCCTGGCACTGTGTTAAGTGCTTTGGCCCGTATTATCTCTAGCAACTTGATGACGTAGGTAATATTATCCTCATTTTACAAATGAAATGGTTTCGAGGTTGAAAAACCTATTCAAGGTTACATAACTAATGAGTGGGGCCTGAGGCCGACTCTGCCTGTGCAGAGCCTGCAAGGTGCAAGGATGGCTGAGGGAGCCCTGTTCCATCCCCTCTCAACACGGGGCCACTGCTCCTCCGAGCTACTGCTCTGTGCCCCCACCGGCCCTCCCCACTCTGCCCTCCCTCACCTTCCTCTTCCTCCTCACCACCTGTCTGTTGGAAATTGCCGAGCCACTGCTCTGGTCCCCCCTTCGCTTCCCCTGGGATCCAGGGGCCAGCTCTCTCCCCTCCCCTCTCCCGGCTGCCCTGTGTGCTAGGGTTCCCTATCCCCTGGACACTAGCTGGGCTGGGCAGGGACCACTGCGTTCCCAGCACATTCCCACAGCCCCCGAACCAGAGGCTCTGGCCTGTCCCCTTGAGGTTCTTTGCTTGGTTCCTCTAGAGTCTAGTTCAAGAATGGTTAAGTAACTCCATGGTGAGGCTGAGGCTTGGGGCTTCCCCGGAGTTCCCAGGGATTGGGCCAGGCTGCTCTTTTCTGATGCTTTTGGAGAGGCTCCCCCACAGTGTCATGAGGTTTAATCTGTGCTTTCCCCAGAGCTGGATTCCCAGACTCCTTCTCTGAGTGTCTTGCCCAGCATTTAGCTCTAAAGTGAAAGGAAGCAAACTCCTCTCTGGGGCCGCTGGGCCTCAGTAGGGCCTGGTGTTAGTGGTGCGTGGGGAGTCCTTAGAGCCTCTGCCAGGGGTTATCCCCTGTGACTAGCCTCTTGCTCCCTGTTCCCTTCTGCCTTGGTCCCTAGACTCAGCCCCTTCCTTGACCTAGAAAATCTTCCATTTGGGACACTACAAGAACCTGTGAGGTTACGTTATCCCACTGCCCACGTCCCTGCAGCCATTGACACAGGGATTCACAGCAGTCTCAGACTCTGCTCTCACACCAGCAGGCCCATCTTCGAGAAGGCGTTATGGGAGGCCCTGTCTGCATGTTAGTCCTCGAGAGCTTAGTGTCACCTCTCCACCCTTCTCCCATGTCTGTCCTGCCTTTTGCACTGGTCCCCTCTCCCCTCCATCCCCCAGCCTCTGGGTTCAGCCCTCCTTTCTAACATGGAGAGGCTGGTGAGGGGCCTCCCTCTCACCCATCCCCGAGTCCAGCCGTAGCAGCTCTGACACATAGCCTCTTTAACACACTGACAGCTGGGAGAGGCCTCACGTCATGTATGGGCAACTGCTGGATTGGCTTCGGTACTTGGTAGCCTGGCAGCCTGTCATCATTGGCCTGGTGCAAGGCATCAACTACGTCCTGGGCCTGGAGTAGCCAGGAAGAAGAGCATCCGCCCACTGCGGACCTCAGGGCACTCTCCTCCCTGCCCTCCAAGACCTCCTGGGTGGGAAGGACTCAAAAGGGGCCCTTGGGCCACTCAGGACCCCTCCGGCTGTGCCCGGGCTGGGGAGGGAGATGATGGAGAGCCAGCCGGTGGGGCTGTCAGCAGTGGGGGCTTTTTACAAGAAAACTATTTTGATGAATATATTTAAAAACCTTTTTTATTGTGAAGCATAGGAATTGCCCCAACTCCTCCGGGCCTCGCCCTCCTTGCTTGAGCACGGCAGGAGCAGAGCCACATTTTTGGTTTAAAGGAGCCTTCTCATCTCTGGCTGAGAGCCTCAGCCTCCACTCTCCCCCCCCGCCCCTGCCAGCCCTTCCTTCCCTCTGTGGGGCTCCAGCCTGCTTCAGTCCCGTGTGGGAGAGCTCATGGGCTCTGCCTCCTACCACAGATGCACACTGAGGGAGGGGAGGTGTCTTCCTTCCTCCCTGTCTGGGCCCCGCAGTCAGTGTTGTGCCCGACTCTGTCGTCCCTTGTCCAGGACCCAGAGACTGGTTTAGGCAAGTGGAACCTTGTCCTGACTTTTCCAGGGAGGGAAGCCCTGGGATCTCACAGTTCACTGAGGATCTGTTTGGGGGCAGCAGCTTGGGTAACCTGCCCCCAGCCAGGAACAGAGTCTGTCTGTGTGTAGTTGGGCCATGAGGACTGTTATTGGCTGCAGTGATTGAAGGCGTCTTGTGCAATCTGACCCTTTAGGCCGGAAGTGGTGACACGCGCCAAAAGCCACTCTGCCACATCACTTCCTGGAAAGCGTGCGTGAGAGTGTGCGTGTGTGTGTTCATGTGCCGCAGTAGAGCTATGACAGGACTTCTCCCTGTCATCAGTGTTCCCTTGAAGCCGCCAGGGGATTCCCAGCCCAGGGAATATCCCTCTGTCAACTTCCACATGTATGGGTCCTGCCTGGGCCTGGCAGCAGGGGTGCCAGGTGGTGGGTGGGAAGAGAGGACGGCAAGGCCCAGGCAAGTGTGGGTTCTAAAAAGAGGTTCCAGGTAGGCCCCAGCCCTGGCCCTAGGAGTTTTGAAGGAAGTGGGAGGGCAAACATGGGCCTCCAGCACTGGGTTCCTAGGGAATGTGGCCCGGCTGGGCCTGCCCTTCAAGCACAGCAAGAGCCAAGCAGGATCTTGTCACTCCATTCTGAATAAAGCTCCATGAGCTGGGTTGGAAAGCTGAACATCCATCTTGCTTTATTCTTCCCTGGGGTTCCTGGGAGTGCCTTGTCTTTGGTGCCTTTTGCTATTCCCATTTGAAAGCTGGATCCGAGGGGTGGCTGGCCCTGCCCCTTACCTGTGGGAATGGTGGGATGCCAGACTCCTGTCCTGTGGCAGAAGGGCCCTGGAGCATCACTGGGTGACTCCTCACCACCTGAGGTGAGGTCTATGCCCTGCCTGCTACCAGCGCACCTTCTCCCGGGCCACCCTCAACTTTGGCGTTTCTCACCCGGCTGTGGCTTCCCCTGGCCGCCCACTGCTCATGTCAGTGGGCCCATCCTCAGAGAGTGGAATGAGGACCAGTTGAAGGGTCCAGGGATCATCCTTTCACTCTTGTCCCCCTACACGTCAGGCTCATGTGAGAAGCCGAGACTAGGCTGTCCAAGGCTCTCTTGTCGTACTTGAGCAAGTCTGGGTCCCATGTCCTCCCCACAGCCCGACTCTTATCTTGGTTCCACTCCAAGGTAGAGTCCTGTCTCCTCTCCCTCCCATCCCCCAATGCCATCCCCAAAAGACTGTGTCTCAGAAGCCCCAAGCAGCCTTGCCTCCTGACCTAACACAGCTGAGATACTGGCATTCCCAGGGAGGAGTTTCATGACGCGTCCGCCAAGCCGAGCTCCATCTCCTGGCTTCCCTGGCTCCGTGCCCAGCATCCCAGCCCCCTGATCACAGAGACCACAAACCTCAGACACTTGGCTCTTGGCCTTCATGCTTGATCTGTGTGTGGACTGGGTCACCTGTCCTGGTCTTTCTGCCTCCACAGGCACTGGCACGACCCCGACCATGAGTGCCTCCTCCAGCTTTGCACCCCCGGTGCCTCACGCGCCTCACCCTAGTCCTGGCCCTGCCACAGCCCCAGCTCCGCCTGTCCCGTCAGCCACCAGACTGGTGCGTTTACATAGCTCTGTTGTTGCTGGAGCCGGCGCTAGGCTGCTTGCTCCTCCTCTTCCCCGGGAAGTGCCCCCCCCCTCGTTTTAGGGCCAGCGCTCCAGCTCGTGGTCCAAGTCCTCAGCCTGGCTCGGAGCGGTTCCTGCACACGAGGCTGAAGAGTGTGGTCAGCACAGTTCCCGAGGCATGGCTCACGTGGGGCCGGACACAGCTGGACTGAGTGGAGCTTCAAGAAGGGGGGATTCTGAAAAAGAGGGCTCTTCAGGGCTTCTCGAGAGCCAGGTAGGGAGAAATCTACACTTCCTAGTGGACCTAGACCTGTAGTTCTGGCCAAGGGGCTGGGATGATGAGAGAGAAGCGAGGCTTTGGGGGGGGGGGGGGGGGAGAAGGCGATGGAGGGGGTTGGTGGTTGGAGGAAGTGGAGAGCCTGAGAAAGGCCAGGATGACAGGCTGGTGTGACATTGAGCCTGAAATGGGCAAAGTGATCGAACTTGGGGTCCCCAGTGCCCAGGAGAGTTGACCCCTTGAATAGAGGTGTGAATGTGAAAGAAGAAACATGAGCCCTGCTCACGTGGACATGAGGGCTGGTTCTGAAGAGCAAAGGTGGACGCCGAAGTCCTGACTCTTGGCTGGGATGGAAGAATCCACCTGTGAGAGACTCTTTCCTGAGTTCATCCCATCTGGGCCCCTGGGAGGGTGAAGCTGAGGGGGCATTAACGACCCAGTCTGATACCATGGGGAAACCTGGGAGTTAGCAGGAAGATTCCAAGCCAGCACGGATTTTGGCTTCAGAAGAGGTGCCGAGTACAGGCTGGTGTCATGCTTGTGTAACCTCTGTCAGTAACTCAGTGCTTGCTGATTCCCTGGCTACAAAAAAGCGAAAGTGAAATAGAGGGGAGAGGGACAGTGCTTTCCCAGAAGGACTTCACTAATCCTGCCCTTCCCAGAACCAGCTCCAGCGAAGAGGGCTTTGCTTCTCTTTGTGACGGGGTAAGTTCCTGGCCCCTCTGTGGGTCCGTTTCTCCATCCCTATAATGAAGGGGTTAGGGTGGACTCATAATCAGCATAATGTTAATGGTACTAAGAGCTAGGGTGGTGAAGACTGTCACTAGACGGTCTGCAGCTTTGTTGCCAAGTGCTGAAAGAGCCCCCGCCTCTGCGGGATGCCTGGAGTGCCTGGCAGCCCATTCAGAGTTCAGACCAAGGGAGGGCTGTGGAGCCCCCAGGAAGGACAGGCCTATAGGAATGGCTGGGATCCAGCCACTGAGAAATTGAGAAGTAGTTTATTCATGTTCTCCTCCCCCACCAGCCCAGAGAGGAAGTTGTTACAGATAAATAGGACCAGGCACGCCAGCTCCTGACACATCCCGTCAAGACCATGAGACAGAACTGGACACCAGGTGGGACTTGAGGCTGGCATGGGCGGGCGGGATGGGGTCTGAGGACAGAAGGGAGCGGTGTGGGCGGCCCTGAGCCTTACGCCCCAGGGGAACTCCATTCTGCTATTGTGTTATGGCTTTCAGCCTCTGTCCAGATGCTGTGGTTCTGGTTCCAGTCCAACGTCTCCTGTGCTCCTTTCAAAAAGGGCCAAGATGTGGGTGGGGCCTGAGGACCCCCTTCTGCTCCTCCCGATTCCCTGGGCAGAGCCCAGGAATCTCTGGGCCAGAGTTGCATCCAGGCCAGGATGCTGAGCATTCCTGGCAGTCAGACAGCAGTTGACCTCTCTCCTGTCCTGCCCTCAGATCGCAGCCTTTTGCGGGTCCTGCTTCTGTGTGCCCACATGGTCTGTCAGCTGGCTGGAGCCGCACCTATGCCTGAGGCCACTGCCAGTGCCTCAGCTGGGATCACAAAGGACCCCTGCCCCTCCTGGCTCCCAACAGCTAAGCGGTGCCCAGCATTGGAGGTGACCTGGCCGGAAGTGGAAGTCCCACTGAGTAAGGAGCAATTCTGATGGGTGCCCAAAAGGACACAGGGGTCAGGGGGTGTGGGTTGTGGGCACAGAGAGTCCAAGGGTGGGGTTGACTCCTGAGCTGCCCCCTACCCTCACCTTCTGCCATGTAGCCGCACCAGCCAGGCCAGCTTCCCAGAGCGTTTGGGCATGTTCCCTCCCACCCAGCATCAAGTGTGGGTGCAGGGCCCAGCTCCCGAGATGCTCCCTATCCAATGGGATGGAGAGAATTCAGACAGAGGATGATCAGAGGACTCCTAGAGCCTTGACTGCAATAGGCTCCGAGGCCCAGCCTGCGCCCCGCCCCTCCCCCCCCAGCCCCCTTGCCCTCTGGCCACCTCAGAGGAGCAGTGGTCTGCTGCTGCTGCCTCCTTGGCCAGGGCTCCTAGAGTCACCAGAGCCGAGCACTAGAAAAGGTCATCCTGAAGAAACAGGCTCAGGAGTCCTCACCTGAACCAAGGGACCCGTCCCCAGATCCCTCTTGTTCAGCCCTGGGCCTCCCTGTAGACAACCACACTTCCCCATTAGCAGACTTCTGCACCTGGTGGGTGTTCACAGCAGCACTCCAGGTTCCTGAACTGTGGGGCCTGGGAGGCAGGGCAGCATGGCAGAGGGGAGGGTGTGCTCTGCGCAAGAGCTAACAGCCACACCCGTCCCTAGGTGGAACGCTGACCTTGTCCTGTGCCGCCTGCAGCCGCTTCCCCTTCAGCATCCTCTACTGGCTGGGCAATGGCTCCTTCATCGAGCACCTCCCAGGTCGGCTGAGAGAGGGCAGCACCAGGTGAGGGTCGCAGTGGTGAGGCCAGCAGGAGGTGGGGGGTGCCCTTCTCCTGCGGTCCTCTCTCATGGCCTTCCGTCCTCTGCTTCAGCAGGGAGTACCGGGGTGCACGCACCCAGCTACGGAGGGCCCTGGTGATAGAGGAGCTGAGCCCCACCCTCCGCAACACCAACTTCTCCTGTGTCTTTGCTGATCCTGAGCAGACCGCCCAGCGTCACGTCGTCCCGGCTCAGCTCTGGGTGAGAAACCTGAGGGAAGGTTTCCACGGACAGGAGGAGCAGTATGGGGAGGAAAGGGTGGGCTCAGCCCAGAGTGGCCTCCAGCTACTGTCCACGGTGCCCCCAAGTGGAACTTAAGACTCAGGCAGGGGAGGCGTGGCCTACAGGAAGGTGACAAGAGATGTCCCCACCCTTGGGCCTGATCCTTGTCTGCCTTCCCTTCCCCAGGCTGGGCTGAAGACCGTCACGCCTTCTGTTCAAGAAGCCCCACCCTCCAGCAGGTCCCCCCTGCCTCGTCATCGCGACAGGTGAACTCCAAAGCCTGGTTGAGTCGTCACCTCTTCACTGAGGTCTACATGCTCTTGCAGCTCAGGCCTCCCTCTAATGGACTGTCCCAGGGAAGGGATGGGGGTAAATGCTGCTTCTGATCCACAGCTGCATCTTTGTCACACCTGGCAGGGCCCACAGTGGGCATATGCATAAATGGTTTTTCAGTGGAGGCATGACAACACCTGCTGTCGTTTAAACCATCATTCCGCTTATAGGCCTTGGCTCATCCTAGGAGGGAGTGTGGGACGAGAGGGACTGTCAGTCACTCAGAATCTAAAGACAAAACCAGGGGACACTGGCCCTCAAAAGAGAAGTGTAAGATCCTATGGCCCTAGAAAGGATTGGAGAGAAGGCAGGTACTTGTTGGGAAAACTTGGCAGGGACAAAGATGTGCTCTAAAAAGCCTCAGTTTCCCTTTTCCCACACAGATCAAGACAGCTCAGCACTTAAGGGAGAAAAATAGACTTTATTTACAAGTAATAACATTTAGAAAAGATCCATCCCTGGCCCTTAAAAACCTTCCCATCACTCCAAATCCCACCCCAGTGTAAGTCTGGGGAAGGTGGGGGAGGAGCTGCAGCGGAAGGCTGCCCCCCACCCCTGCTGCCGCACCCAGGCTTGGGGCCCACCTGTTCTGGAAAAGAGCATCTTCTGGGCATCTGAGCCCTTGGGTGGACGGGAGCACCTCTGGGTGCACCCCCTAGGGTCAATACCCAGTCCTGGACTTCAAAAGCAAAAGGGCCCTGCTCCTCCAGTGGTCCCTCTTCTGGATCCAGAGGCGGACTGACTTGGCCCTTAGGCCCAGCCACTCAAAGCCAACCTCAAGTCTGGTTATGATGGAGAAGTGACTTTGCTCTAAGAAAACATGAGGCAAGGTAGGGAGAAGACCCAGACTCTCCAGGCCTCCGGGGCCAACTCTGAGGACACATCTGTTCACCTGGTGAAGATCCAGGTACCAGGCCGGGGTGTGGGCAGGCATCACTGTCTCTAGGGGTCTGGCCACTGTTGGCCTGGGAGCTGAGAGAAGGCACTGAAAGGGACAGTAGAAGGAAAAGGACCAGGCGAGGTCGGCATTGAGGACACAGGTGGGGCCTCTCGCTGGTCCTGGCCCTTTAGTGCTTTGCCTGAAAGAGAGAAACACCGTCACGTAGCTGGAGCCTTGGGATGCCTGCCTGTACCAGCTGGCTCAAGGAGGCCTCTTTCGACTTCCGCCCCCCCCCCCCCCCCCGGCCCCGCGACTAGGATCCCTTCCTTTGGGGCTGAGCTGGACACATCCACCTTGAGCTTATCATGCCAGCTTAGGCCTAAGCAGCCCCGGGTCTCCTCTCCTCCACAAGCAGGTAACCTAGACAGGGAGCGCCCACACTTAGCCCACCTCCAGTGGCCTAGCCGGGCCCTGCCTTCACCCACTTTCCTAAGAGTCCACCAGCCCCTTCCCTGTCAGTGCCTCCACCTTGCCCTTGGCCCGAGGGGTGGCAGCGAGGGCGGCGGCCGTGGCGGCGCTGGCTGCTGTGGTGGCGATGCGCGGAGAGCGGCGGGTGCCGCCACGGCTGGTGGGGGAGGCCTTGGACAGGGCTTTCTTGGAGGCTCCCCTCCGCAGTAGGCTGTTCCCGAGCTTCTTGGGCGTGTTGAGGATGCTGAAAGCCATGGACTGGCGGCGGTCAGCCTGTCGCAGAGGGAGGGGCTGTCAAATGGGGCTGCACTTGGGCCCTGCCACCAAGGCCCCTCCAAGGGCTCCCTCCAGCCACACACCCCCCACTCACCTGTTTAACAGCCGGAGCAGCGGCTTTCTTCTGGGCCTCCGTAGTGCTCTGTTTGCGCCCTTCATGTCGGTCCCGGGGAGTCACAGGGCGGGGGAAACAGCTGGTGGCCTTCTTAGACTATGGGGAAGAGAGGGTCACATCCAAAGCCAGACATGGGTCTCAGAGCTGAGTGGACCTTGTAAGTCAGTACTGCCCCACCCCCACCCCCCGGTTCCCAACAGTCCCCGCATCAGGCCCTCAGACAGCGAAGGCTCCCCTTCAATCCACTTTTCCAACTGGGGGAACTGGGCTAGACCTGGGCAGGCTGCTAGACAGAACAAAAGAGGAGCCGGGGTCGCATACCTCAGGGGTCCCGGGGCCCTGCTGGGGCTCCGAGGAGACCCGTTTGCGCTGCTGCCGGGTGGTGATGCCCGCGGCCTCAGCTATCTGGGCCGGCTGCATGCTGGCTCGGCGCAGGGTCTCCCGGGGGTCCCCGGTCTTCATCTCCTCGTCTGTGATAGTAGCCAGGCTCAGGGAAGGCTGTGTGGAGCGGAAGGGAGTGGTCAGGGGGGCAGGCCCACCCAGCAACTCCTCGTGGTCCTGGCGCGGAGGGCCGCTCAGGCCTTCCTGGGGCCGAAGGCCTCCCTTGCCAGTGTCTTCCTTTTTGCCCTGCAGGATGGCCGCAGGAGGCTGGGGCAGACCTCCTCCTCGCACTCAGGCCCGCCTGTGGTGACTTCACCCCAACCCCTTCTCTGCCAGCTAGTGCATGGACGCAGAAGGTCACCCTCCGCAGCAGGCCAGAGACCTGGGGCCCAAGCTCACCCTGGACTCCAGGGGGTAGCAGGTCTTCAAGTGGGGGGGGCACACCCGGTTGCGCTGCTGCAGCTCTGCAATGCGGTTCCAGTCGTCCAGCTGCTCAGGCTCATCTTGGCAAGTGCCCACGTAGAAGCTGTTCCTTCCTGTGGAGGGCAGGGAGACGGGAGCAGGGGGGGCTGGAAGGCCAGGAAGAGTGAGGGTAGTGGCAGCGGGCCACCCCCTGGTCCCGGGCCTCTTGCCAGCCGTTGTGTCCACCACTCCTGTCCCGCGGACTTCAGGCTTAGGGCCTCAGAGTCCTGGCAGATCCAGGGGTGGGGCTCGCAGACCATTTCCACCCTGGGGGCTGGCTCACTGCTCTCCCCCCTGAGGTCAAAAGAGATCCTCTGGAGACTGTGACACCTTAGAGGAACTGAGGACCAGGAATTGATACCTAGGGGGTTCTGGAGGCCACGAGCCTTCAAGAAGAATCTAAGAATAGAACAACCTTAGAGAAACTAATTGAGGACCAGGAATTGATACCTAGCAGGTCCTGGAGGGCACGAGCCTTCAAGAAGAATCTAAGAATAGAACACTGGCCCAGCAGGGCTCTTCCGGCACCCCTTACCCCCTTGAGACAGGGTGAACGGAGGACCTGAGCTGAGCATCGCTATCAGGCTGGGAATCCCAGGCTCCTTGCACGAACATTTCCCGTTCACCCTGGCTGAGATGAGCAGCAGCCTGAGGGGCAGGCAAGGTGCTGGAAGGTAACCAGCCTTGGGATTGTCAAAGTGTGTCCCTTTCCAATGCCAGGATCTGCTCCTTGTCTCATTTTTGTTGTGTTTCAAGCCCCTATGGTCCCCTCACCTGGAGGGACCCCACTGGATACCCCAGCCTGGGAGCGGCGAGCAGAGCTGCGAGTGGTGGGCCGGTAGCCAGGCAGGCTGAGCAGAGCCGAGTTGCCATCGTCAGGAGAGCCCAGGCGGGCTAGAGACTGGGTAGAAGAGGTGGCTCGTGGGCCGGCCTGGGAGGCAGGGGCTGACTGTGTGCTGTAGAAGGATGAATTGGCGCTGTCCGGCTCTTCCACATCTAGCTTCTGGAAGAGAGAATGAATCTGGTGGGGTGAGCCCCTGACAGTATAAAGCAGCCTCCTGTTCCTCTTCCTAAAATGCCTGTGTTCCCATACCGCTTTGCAGGGATCCTTAGCTGCACATCCGCAAGAAATGGGCCTTGTTGCTAAGAATCCTCCATTCTCCCTTGCCTATTGACAATACTTTGAAGGAGGAAAGGCAGAGTGTGTATTACACCATTTTAGAATCCAGGTGTAAAAAATAGTGATCAGCCTCCAGGTCACAGCTAGCAAGTGGCAGAGCCAGGGCTGGAATGCTTGTCTCCTGGGCTAGTCAGGCTCATCCCACAGCCTTCACTGTCCCTCACCCCGAGCTTGCCATGGCCCTGCCCACCTTTCAGTTCTCCAGCTTCTTGGCAGCAGAGGGCAACCCACACGAAAGAGGTACCTGCTGCATCAAAGGTACCTCCCCACTCCCCAACCTCCTCAGGATACGGAAACAAGGGCCAGCCAGAGTCCCCAGCCTAGCGGGCAGCCCTCTGGGTGGCTACAACACATTTAAGCCACCCCGAAGGTGTGCTGGAGGCCCAGGGCTGGGCTGTTACTTCTCCATAGTCTCTCCCTGCAGCCTGCACAGGGCAGCCTTAGAGCCAGCAGGCGTCCAATTCCAGCCTTGCCCCTTCCCTACAAAGGAGGTCTTGCAAGTCCCTGTGTTTCTGGGGATTTCAGTGTTCCCATCTGTAAGATAGGGACCCTCGGGAGGCTATTGCGAGGACCTGATGGGAAAGATGCCCTTAACGAGCAAGTGAGCATGACTGGCCTGGAGCCCCACTCCTGGCAGCCTGACCTTGGTCATGGTGATGTTGATGATTTGCGTGGTGCGTCGACGAGCAGAGCGTGTCTTCCTGCCTGAGTCCAGGAAGACGTCCCCCAGGGAGTCCAGGCTGCTTTCCAGTGGGGCCTGTCCCCGAGCAGGGATTGGGGTGAAGTAGAGAGACTCCAGGGATTCTACCTTGGGGGGCAGGCGCTGGGAGATGGGTGAGGCTGGCTCTCCAGGGATGCTGGTGCCATCTGGCTGAGTTCGAGGCAGCTTGCTGTAGAAAAGGCATTTTGGTTCATCCCTTTGCTCCAAAGTGACCAATCCCTACATTGACTACAAGCAGACCAGGTCAAGCCCCATTCTCGCTCTGATTTTTGAGAGGTACCCAGGAAAGCCCTCACCTTGGGCCCTCCCTTTGCTCCACTCTCCATTCCTGGTGAGCCCCTCTACTCCCAGGGTTCTCTAGCTCCTTAACACTGGCAACTCCCGGACTCCACTGTTCCAGACATCCCCACCTGGACACCCAGCTCCATGGTGAGTATGTCCAAACTAGGTCCATCCGTCTATTCCTCCTGGATCTCCTACTTCATGGAACGGGAGCAGCCTCCAGCTGGGCCGCCCCAGCCATGAACATGGGCACAGTCCTACCCAACAGCTCGCCTAACCAACACCCTAATCCGCTCACATCCCCTTGGCCTGGTCCGCCTTCTCCTCTCACCTAGACCTGGTGGCACCTGAGGGGAGGAGGCGCCAGCCTG